GCATGTAAAAGTTATGCACGTTTCACTTTCAAAAACAGCATCACAGGAAATAATTCGTGGGGGGGGGGGGGCTTTTAGATAGCGAAATTTGATGGCCGTCTGGCAGAAGTGGGTCCGGGCGGACGGACAAAATGCAAACAATAGCACATTGTTTTTAATTCTTAAAAAATGCGCTAAAATACTATAAGATACACGTGTATAATTGATTATACACTTGTATCTTAATATACTATTTTGTACTCAGTTACCATGTCTGTTCGAATTCTTGTATAGTATCGTATGTAAGTATAAAGTTCTCAAAAATTTCGTTACAGTCTCTTTATTTGGTATAGATAAAATTACTATATGTGCAACGTTACAGCGTACGAATTGCCGTGATTAAATTTTTTTAAAGGTCTAATTGTGTCAATGCAGACTATGTCAAATGCTTTTTGAGGGGTTGGTGTTAATACTAGAGTTTCGACTTGTTAATTTGACAATTGTGACATTCTCTTAAATTGTTACGCAAATAATAAGATTATGATACGAACGTGGAAGGAGGATCTGTTAAAAAAATAAAATCATAAATATTAACTGTCTTGGGAACAGTATATAACACATGCACCTATGATAATACCACAGTATTTCGCCAAAATGAAATTAATCGTCTTACCGATACTGCTAACCTGCTTAGTTTGTTGTGATCCGATTGGAGGATCTTCTGCTTTGGAAACTAAGATGCTGGGTAATTATCTACGTGCAATAGGGACCGTTTCATTGTCTTTTTGATTTTAGAATCCAGGGCAAACAGCATTTTGTGTTTGCTACAAGGTGTCCTGACTCTTTTAGCCAAGGTCATAAAACATATTTCGGTCGTTGGGGGAGACGTCTTACAAGCCGTATTTGTAGTGCTTACAAGTGCTTTCCGTTGTATTCAAACTATACTTGTATTTAAATTTACGGATCTATTCACATGCATTAGGCAATTGCTAACTACCGCGGGTAAGACATTACCAGTTGCCCTTAAGGTACTTAATCTGTTCAGTAATTCCACATTTACCGCAGATCTAAAGACTTGTTCAGGCGGTTCGTAGTGGTCAATCTACTAATATTTATATATACATATAAAAATTTGCATGTATACTTGATGATTTAGCTATCAAATAAACACAATACCTAGGTATACCTCTTTATTGAGTTGTTTGACACGTCATAGAAAATCTGAAAAATTACACAATGGCGGATGCCGCGGTGGTAGATATGAGCCGCGAACAACAACTGCTCTATCACGATCATAGTAAATTTAACCGAAATGTATACATTGTAATGGCGACGTTAGTCAAAATGCCATTCAGATTAGTACTAATGGTAGACCGATTCTTGACAAATGTTAGCTGATATGATATGGCCTTTGGGGAAGTATTGATCAATTTATGGAAAATGCGCTGCAGTTACTCGCCTTAGGGCGAAAACCTTTTTACTTGTTTCTTTTAAATGCCAATATTTATAATCTTCCTTGTAGGGGTACATTCGGACATATCATTGGGGACAGATTCGGACTGTCCGAAGAAGAATGTCATTAGCGGTAAGAGCTGTCGTTACAAAGCAGAAATCTTTACGGGAATCTGCTGTTCACTTTAACATCAAAAAGTCAACGCTGTTTGATAGAGTCAAGATTTATAAGTCAAAGCACAAAAATTATGGCGGCAATGACTCCGCACAAGACACTTCTGAAAAGGAAAATGAGGTGGATCTACGTAGGTCTAAATATTCCACAAGAATGGTATTCAATTATGCGGAAGAAAAGAAGTTAGAACGATACCTTATCTTTAATAATATGAAAAGTTACCCATGCAATTTGGGACGCAATGTAAGTATATGAAAAATACGTTCATTTGAAGTTATGCGTCCGAACGTACCCCGCACTCCCCACTGTAGAATTATTTCCCAAATTTGTTTTCTATTGCCGCTATGGGCCCGGAACCACATTGCCCCTTGCTACATTCAGCCCTGAGTGCATGGTAGACGGACAGACTGAGGTATCTTGTTTAATAAAGAAACAAATATTACAAATTTCTGTTTAAGTATAGGTATAAATTATAAGATAAATATGAAATTATGAAAAATAGGGGTTGTGCTTCGTATTGATGACAACTTTTGGATTTCATCGGAGTTATCTTTGTGTAAGTGGGTAGTTGTTTTGTTACTAAAGAAAAGATAACGATTGCCTTTCGTTCTCCTTTTTGCTGTAGGTACCTCGTACTAATTAAATTGTTACGCAAATAATAAGATTATGATACGAACGTGGAATGAGGATCTGTTAAAAAAATAAAGTCATAAATATTAACTGTCTTGCGAACAGTATATAACAGAGGCACCTATGATGATAATACCGCCAAAATGAAATTAATCGTCTTACCGTTACTGCTAACCTGTTTACTTTGTGGTGATCCGATAGGGGGATCTTCTGCTTTGGAAACTAAGATGTTGGGTAATTATCTGCGTGCAATAGGGACCGTTTCATTGTTTTTTTGATTTTAGAATCCAGGGCAAACAGCATTGCGTGTTTGCTAGAGGGTGTCCTGACTCTTGTAGCCAAGATGATAAAACATATTTCGATCGTTGGGGGAGACGTCTTACAAGCCGTATTTGTAGTGGTTACAAGTACTTCTCGTTGTCTTCAAACTATACTTGTACTTAATTTTACGGACCTATTAACATGTATTAGGCAATTGCTAACTAGCGCGTCTAAGACAGTACCAGTTGCCCTTCAGGTTCTTAATCTGTTCAGTAATTCCACATTTACCGCAGATCTAAAGAATTGTACGGGGGGTTCGTAGTGGTCAATCTACTAATATTTATATATACATATCTTTGCATGTATATACTTGATGATTTAGCTATCAAATAAACACAATACCTATACCTCTTTATTGAGTTGTTTGACACGCAGTACGTATACCCACATCAACAGACACTTGCGTCATTAGAAAAGCTGAAAAATTACACAATGGCGGATGCCGCGTGGTGGATATGAGCCGCGAACAACAACTGCTCTATCACGATCATAGTAAATTTAACCGAAATGTAAACATTGTAATGGCGACGTTAGTCAAAATGCCATTCAGATCAATGGTAGACCGATTTTTGACAAATGTTAGCTGAGATGCTAGCCAAACTAGAAGGTATTAATTTTCTGACACAATAATGCGCGGTTATCATTAACATCACTGTCACAGGGCCCCGTAATTTATCATGGCATCATCAATCTGTATCTATCTTGTCTTTAACACTTGGCAAAGAGCAATTATTTGGGTGATATAGGATTTATTTTATACCGGTATATAAAGAATAGTCAAAAACAATCCTTTTACCAAGTGCCCGTACTAGTGTCGTAGATTAATATATTTTTTCTGACTACTTTAGAAACAATTACTTTCGTCTTTAAAAAAGGGCGAAGAAAATGTGATTTTCCTCTCTAGTGCTGAAAGTAAAAAGCAATTGCTGCGTTAATCTTAATAATGACACTTAAAATTGAAACATACCCAAGGTTGTTTTATTAGGTTGTCTGGTAACTCTAAACCAATAGAATGCTTGCATTTTGAAGGCGGGAAAACGTCATCCAGAATTCACATTTAAAATTGCTCATAGGTTACAATGCTAATAAAAGGGGTAAAAAATTTAGTTTTTGCAGTATATTTTTGGATTTATATGGGTATATGTATATAAGGGTGGATCTTATATTGGAAATCTTGGAAGTTTATCGACCTCCACCTTTGAAAGCAATCAAAGTATTGAAAAAATGAGTGTTGTGCGTAAGCTATTTTACATTGCACGAGGACTTGTGAAAATGTAATCAAATTAATTTTAGAGGTGGAAATGGATAAAATTCCGCGATCTACAAAATAGGAACCACCCCTATGTACCAATACCTAGCCTTTGGGAATTAAAACTCTAAACATTCTTTAGCGGATGACGCCAAATAAAATGCTGTTGCGTTTTATGGAAAATGTATATTTATAGTATGTACAAAATGGTAACCGAGGTGCACACGGCGAGCTCTGTCGTTGGGGCGAGCCCAGATGCAGGTCTTCTGACTGATGGAGTGTGGCGCGCGGTCGAGCTGGCAAGGCGACCTGGTTCTGCAGGTGGAAAGCTTTTTGTTTCTTGATGTGCAGTCTAAGCAGAAATTGCGTTGCACTTTGCAGAGTTCGTGGCTCTGCTTTTAAACGTTTGCGGCAAGCGACGCTAAGCTTTCATCCATTGGCCGTTTTGACCAATGGGAGCCCAGCACATTTTAGTTTGCTGCCGGATGTGAAACATTTTCTTACCCATTCTTTAAGAACGGTAGGGTCTTTGGGAAACGTAAAAACCGAGATTTTATTTACACCAGGATGAGGAATTTTAGTGTTACCGCCACTCATCTAAAAAAACACTTAATTATAACATACAAAAGTGCATATAATTGATGAACTAACCTTTCAATCACGGCTATGAAAATCCACAAAATTCACAAACTAAATGTCTTTATATTGCACCAAACAGGTATCTACAGCTAATGTCCTTATGCACTTCAAAATTCAACAAATTTTAAACAAATAAACTATAACTCAAGAAAAATAAGCACCCGCGCGACTACAAACAACGTTGAACGTCAATGTCTGAATTCTCGATGACGAATACATTCCCTCCCTCCCGCTTCCGCACACATAGTTACCAGGTAACCTTTGAAATAAAATAACCTAAAACATACCCGAATGTAGATTGCTAAGTGTGAAACTTCGTTATTGTATACGGTAATTTTTCAATTTTGATTGTAGTTCAGAAAAAATGATGTGTAAAACTTGAGAAGAAAGTGTTTTCCTCGGCTGTCGCCTCTGAATATTATGAACTTCCTCGAAGCTTAATGCGCTACTTACGTACCTTGTAGCTTAGATAACTATATCATGATCCCAGCACACCCTGTAGACAAAGTTGCTAGGTTTTCCGAGTAATTAAAAATGTAAAACATCAACGAAGCGTTTTAGGGACGATCAGCAATAAGTTTTTATTCTTGGCACAAAAAATTGCCATAATCGTTTAATGTAACATTACAAGTAATCTCAGTAGTTGGTATAGTCATTTGTGTGGTACTATTGAAACAAAAACTTAAGACAATCAAACACCAATTGAAAAAGATTCTTGAACACTAACTGTCCAGCTGCCGGTAGTAAGATCTTAATCACCGTAAATATAGTTCCGACACCGTTCTTCAGAATGCAGTCGATTGTTGCCTTAAGCGTTGTGCCGGTTATAACAGAGCTAGTATTTACCAGCATCGGCGCACAGAGTGCAAATTCTCCAACTCCGCTGAACGTTTCATTCAGTGCAGATCCCACGGCTTCTAAGGGGAGGTCTACCATACTTAATAAAGTGTTGGTCACGCATGACCAGAACTCCTTTAGACCCCTTTGTGATAATTTGTTCATACCTGAAACCATTCGAAAGATTGGTAAAACTTGTACAACGAAATATATTCCACGTACCTCTATCGCTTAACGCGATAGTCCCGAAAAACAGGCAGACGAAAGTTATTCCAAAAACCGTCTTCATAATTGTAGGTGTAGGTACGAACTGAGTGATTTTTTTTTACTTTTATATCTCTACAGGATTTTATCAGGGCATACACGAGCAAATGAAAGTAAATAATGACGCAACCATATTAAATATTTTTTACGGAGTAAGTTCTGCGAATTGACTTGTAAATCTTGTAGGAGACTCATTAAATATTTGATTTCAAGCTTGCCATAGGGGTATATACGACTTATCTACATCTCGTGTATCCTACTAACTCGTGAATAAGCTATCCACCTTTCATTTCTAATTACTAATGGCCGATTGCACCGACAAATTTAAGCGGCGCTTAGCTTAAGCGTAGTTTAAAACCCATGGCAACCATTGTCTCAATAATCGTTGCCATAGATTTTAAGCTACGCTTAAGCTAAGCGCCGCTTAAATTTGTCGGTGCAAACGGCCATAAGTTGTCATGTACACAGTACAGCCGATGGAGTTTGGAAAACTATCATACCATTTACCTGTATTTGCACAGGTTCTTTACAGCTATTGATCAAATCTGGTCTACTTTAAATTGGTAACAAATAGCGTGATGTGCAATATTCCAGGTTGAAGATAACAAAGTAGTCCTTTGACGTCGCTCAAATAATGTCCTTTTCCTCAATGAATTTACTTCAAAATCAATAGGGTTTTTTCTGAGATAACCATGACCTGTCAAATGGCGTTATGTAGTGCTGTTAATGCGTTACTTCATATTTGTATCAATTGCGGCCCCATTGTCACACAGTGTAAAATCAATGAAACAATTTACTCAATTTTGAATTGGTACATAAACATAATTTGACACATAGAGATTTCACACAAAATTCAAGAAGGCATTTCCTCCCAGCGTTGGTATAACTGACAGGATTCTGTGGATGATCACGGTTCTGCACGTATTAGTACTTTGCTCAACATAGGGTGTTGTGAGGAGGATATGACGCAAAGAGTAAGAAGAGTTTACGTAGCTGTCGAGGGATGGTAAGCAGGACAGCTCGTAGTAGATAGTGTAATACATCTAGTCCCACATAGCAGACCTATATACATTGCATATACCATGTACATTCCACGTGGGATATTGTATATCCATAGAATGTGGAAAAGTATGTCGCAAATGTCCGATGTATGTGCATGGGATATAAGTTTGGCAGACTTCACATAATACATAGTATATACGTTTTGGATGTCTTATATATGCATGTATATACATCAGACATGCTATGTATATTGGAATACTGACAACTGGATATACCATGAATATTCCTGTAATATGCACAAGATGTTCAATAGGATATTCTATGTATATTGTATACATTCAGAATGGATGTTCGATAGAGATTCCTCTAACATTCGGGATGTTTACTAGTGTCTATACCAGAGCTGGGCAGTATTCGATTTTGTAAATACTTTTTAGTATTCAAATCCTTTAAAGTATTCAAATACTTTGTAATTAAATACCTTTATGGAAGCAGTATTTGTATTTCTCGGGAAAACACTTTTTCTTATTAATTTTGGTGCGTAGAATCCAAAACAATTCGCACTTTTTCGATCAGACTTCTCAATCAAAAGTTATAGACTGGAAACCAATTTCGAAAAAAAATTCAAAGAGCTGTAACTTTTGAACTAGGAGCCCAATCTTGGAACTGTTTGAAATTATGGATTCTACAGGCCACATTTTATAAGAAAATTTTTTCCGGGTCGATCTGAGACAATTTTTTTTTCGGGCCCCAGAAAAAGGCAGTGTATAACCTTCCTTTTTTACCAAAAATCGACTACACCAAAATTTCTCGGGAAAACACTTTTTCATATTAATTTTAGTGCGTAGAATCCAAATCAATTCGTACTTTTTCGATCAGGCTTCTCAATCAAAAGTTATAGACTAGAAACCAATTTCGAAAAAAAATTCAAAGACCTGTAACTTTAGAACTAGTAGCCCAATCTTGGAACTGTTTGAAATTGTGGATTCTACAGGCCACATTCTATAAGAAAATTTTTTTTCCGGGTCGATCTGAGACAATTTTTTTTTCGGGCCTCAAAAAAAGGCAGTGTATAACCTTCCTTTTTTACCAAAAATCGACTGCACCAAATTTCTCGGGAAAACACTTTTTCTTGTTAATTTTGGTGCGTAGAATCCAAATCAATTCGTACTTTTTCGATCAGACTTCTCAATGAAAAGTTATAGACTAGAAACCAATTTCGAAAAAAAATTCAAAGGGCTGTAACTTTGGAACTAGTAGCCCAATCTTGGAACTGTTTGAAATTATGGATTCTACAGGCCACATTCTATAAGAAAATTTTTTTTCCGGGTCGATCTGAGACAATTTTTTTTTCAAAAAAAGGCAGTGTATAACCTTCCTTTTTTACAAAAATCGACTCACTTTCTCGGGAAAACACTTTTTCGAGAATCCATTCGTTTTTTCGATCAGACTTCTCAATCAAAAGTTATAGACTAGAAACCAATTTCGAAAAAAAATTCAAAGGGCTGTAACTTTTGAACTAGTAGCCCAATCTTGGAACTGTTTGAAATTATGGATTCTACAGGCCACATTCTATAAGAAAATTTTTTTTCCGGGTCGATCTGAGACAATTTTTTTTTCGGGCCTCAAAAAAGGAAGTGTACGTACAACCTTCGTTTTTTACCAAAAATCGACTACACCAAAATTTCTCGGGAAAACACTTTTTCATATTAATTTTGGTGCGTGGAATCCAAATCAATTCGGACTTTTTCGATCACACTTCTCAATCAAAAGTTATAGACTAGAAACCAATTTCGAAAGAAAATTCAAAGGGGGCTTTAGAACTAGTAGCCCAATCTTGGAACTGTTTGAAATTATTACTTTTACTCCCCTTAAATTTGTATATAACAATATAAATTTAAAAAGAGCTTAACCCCATACAAAGTATAACTTGATTTTTTAAGTAGTATTAAGACTTTTATCTAGTATACTATTTTACATTTTTAATGTATTTGAGTGACAAGTATTTGAATAAGTACTTTTCAAAGTATTCAAATACCTTTGATAGTATTAGAATACTTTTGAAAGTATTCGAATGCATTCTAAAGTATTTGAATACTTATTTTTTAAAGTATTTGAATACTTTTCTATGTATCTGTATCTAGTATTCGCTTGTGCTGGACGTAAAAGTATTTAGTATTCAAATACCTTTGATTTGTGTAAAGTATTTACTATTTAGTATTCAAATACTTTTTGAAAGTGTTCTGCCCAGCTCTGGTCTATACCTTCATAAATAAGTTCTTTTCACGGAGTGGAGCTTTTTGTTTCTTAAGTCTCTTAGTGTACAATGGAAAATGTGCTTAAGAAATTATTATTGTTTTATTTAACACTGTAGTCTCGAGTCATTTTGATCGTGTTCTTGTTCAACACTATAATAGCGCGAGTTCATAACAAATAGGTTGCTAACATACCTGCCATTCTTGTCCTTATATTAATTCCCATCCAGTCTTTACATCTCACTAACACATATTTGCAACTTTAGATCATGCACACACGAAATAATAGTATTTTACATTATTAGCCAGGTAAGTGAGTTTTTACTGGCGATAGGAGAAGTTGACTGGCGAGCCGTCAGGCGAGCCTGTCATCTCCTAGAGCCAGTAAAACTATTACCTGGCGTATAATGTACAATATTTTATTTGTTACTCATTTGTAAACGTAAATAATTAGTTCTTAAATTGATCTTGAAGAAATGTCTAAAATATCATGTGATCCATGTAACAGAGACTTCGCATTAATTCTGGCCAATGAAATTACTAGATTACTAACGTGTAAAATTTTTACAGGTCTGCTGTCAGTTTTACAAGTCTGCTGTCAGTTTTACAAGTCAGTAGCGTTTAAACATGACGTTTACCCGTTTGCGTTTTGTCTTGTTAATCAACGTTTACAACTGAGTAACAAATAAAAATCATTACTTTCACTGTCAAAATTAGACAAACAAACTCATTAATAACACGCAGAATAACACTCCTGATTTTAGAAAAATGAGCTGTATTTGCAATAGCATCTTACTATCTTCATCGCCGTAATTCACAGAAAATGAGACGCTAACGTTTGTAACGTCGGTAATACAGAACACGCATGTATCAAATCCAAAACGCATATACATAACATATAATCCCATGTATATACATAGCACTTCCAAAATGTATATTTATAGAATATCCATACTGAACATAAAATACATATGCCTATCCTATAATGAATATACATAGTATATACATAAGATGGACAGGATATTCCGTGTACATTATGGATTTAAAATGTATATACATAAGATATCGAATGCTATGTGGGGTTAACGTCTGTTGTTTAGGGACCCTCCCAAAAGAAATAATGGTAGCAAAAAAATCTGTATTACATACAGATAAGCAACATGAAATTATTGTTAAAAATGTCAGATATGCTCTGAAAGTAATCACAAATTTGTTGTCGGTTCATCAGCTAATTAAAAATGGGTCAATGGAACTTTTCACCGGGACAGCTGGAAAATATTTAATAAAAATTGTTTATACCTTGCTGAAGCTGACTGTTTACATAGCGCATATAGACTTAAAGTTAAGAAAAAGTCACCGAGGACTCTTGTAGACAGCTCGGTAGCTAATTTAGCTGTATGAGGATAATTATAATGTTCGAGGAGGCGATTGAAGGTTAGGTTAACGTATTAGTGAGATTTTGCATAGGCGATTTTGACATATTAGTTATAGAGATTTTCCATGAATTGGTTAGTATTTCCCGAAAGGTCATGCAGCGGACTATTCAGTGTACGAAGGAAAATAAGTTGAGGCATAAATAAGAAATTAAGCATTGCGCAGTCAAGGCAAACGTATTTTTTATTTATTTTAAACATTGGATGTGCGCATGCATAGACTGTGTATTTTTCGGCAAGATTATTATTAATGACACAGGATAGACCTTTCTTCTTCTTTTTTTAATCACGAAGGGAATATTGCGAAATGGTTTATATCTACAACACCATAACATATTTTTTTCAGATTGTTCAAACATGTTATACAAACATATTTACGTTCACATTAGCAAGAGGTCGGTAAAGATAAAAATGTTGAAACAATTCTTTACATACAAGGTACTACGATTCTACTTCAAAAAGAATTTATTACTGCCATTTAGCAGTAAATTGACGCATTTCGGGCCTACTCTTGTTTGGAGACTGTCTGAGTTTGCCAATTAAATAGTTTTTTTTGCTAAGTGTCAGTTATTCTAGTTAAATAAAATGACGATTACCAAGAGGGCCCAAAAGGATTCAACTTCTTTTGCTAAACCAATCCGCGTTATACGATTTGAGAAATACAAGTCATTCTTAGGTAACGTGAATACATTTTGATATAGACTCACCAATGAATAATAATAATAACTCACCTGATATACAGTGCTATTCATTAAGAAGTAGACATAGGGATTTATGTATAGGTACTGTTTTTTTCCTATGTCTACTTTCAATTGACTTCTGAAAGGCGCCTAATTTTATGCAACTATATAAATAACTTTTTAAAACAAATAAAGATCTGGCTGTCCATTAATTAATTTGAATATTTTGTATCTTCTTTGTGGTCTACGGGTTTAGATGTAAATTTTTCTGTACCACAGCTCTTTTACCTAGTTCTTTATTTTCGCGTCAAAGGTTTCTTTCACCTAGTTCTTTGTGTCGCCGCCCGAGGTCGTACAGTGTCTTCCGTGGGTTTTTTGGACTATCCCTTCTTTAGTCTATCTTGCTCGCACAGTTTTGTTTCTTTCCCCTCACTGAAGTTTCTGCTTTCGGATTGATTACATGCAAGTGTTTTCTTTTGGTACGATTACTGGGTGAAGACTTATTTCTGTTAGTTTGTATCCTTCAGCTTAACTATGTTAGACGAGATATTAGCTAACTCTACTTTATGAATAAGTTTTTGAAGTAAGTTTTGTCCGAAGCCGATTTTTAGAAGTTTTAGATACATTATACGTATAATAACCTTGGATAGACACATTCTTGAAAAGACACAATCCAGGCATTTGAAACTGTGTGAAAACTTTAAAAGGATTTTCCATTATAATTAATATTAGCGTATGAACTCGGTTAGAAGATGGTAAAAAGCTTTCCATTTAAAATCAGTATTGAGTACCGAAACTGATTTATCTATATATTTAAGGTCTTTAATGTGTGTGTAAATAAACAAATATCCCGTATTTCGATTGTTAATTTAATTCGTTTATTTAACATAGTAAAATAACGTCGGCACGTACTAGAAAGTTAGTAACAATTTTGAATATACTGGATGTTTAAATGAACCTAAGATTTATCAGGGCTGTAGAGGAAGGCTGAAGTTTATTTATTTATCTAAATTTCGTCAATATTTTTTTCATTTTGTGTATGTATTTTCTATCAAAGTGAAAGGCGAAAGGGGCCAGTTTTTTTAAAAATTTTCAGGTAGTAAGAAGATACGTCAATTAATTTTTTACTAAGGGAATTAGACCAAGGTAACTTTAGTAAAGTTTCTAGCCGTGGATACATCTTTAGATAACATTACCGTAATTACTCAAAATTTAATAAACCCCTAAAGCAGATCTAAAAAAGCGACAGAGCATCGCCGTTTCACCCTCTACGGGATTATTGGATTTGACACATTATTAACATGTAGAATATAGGTCAAATGTGCAAAGCTGGAACCGAATCGACTCAAGCGTTTGGCAAGTTATCGTTTTCACGGGCAGACCGAGAGACAGACGGACACCATCGACTTCCCTATAAAGCTTACATCGCTTTGTTTTGCCGCTTAATAAAACAATCAGGAATTGACTCATACTGACTAAATTTAAGCTTTTCAGTGCCCATTGTCCTTCTATCATAGTGGAATATACCCAGTGTTCATGTTTTAATGCCCTCTAAAAAAAGAGATTAAATTTACAGTGATATTCGGCAAAACGAATTTAACTTTCTCTATTATCTATTAACTGAGATACCAATAGTGGCCATCGAAGTATGAAGACCTTGTGCACTTATTTTATTGATGAAGGAAATTGTGCTTTAAGGGCAACCTTCACAAAGTGGGACTTTGGCAAGGTAAAGTTTCGTGCGCGACGTATCTATTTTATTATTGTTAAATACACTGTATGACAATATTTATGAGCAAGCACGAAAATAGGAGAATATAAAAGAGGGCTACTGAAAAATACAGTAAAACATTTAAGACCATCAGGGTACCTTGTTCTAAAAATGAAGTTCGTTGCAGTCTCAATTTTGTTTACTGTTGGATCCGTAATAGCGGATGGATTGTCTCAAAAATCTGGTTCATTGGGTAAGTAAATATAACCCAAATTGAAAACTGAGATATACAATGTTTACATTTTTCACGAATTACAGAAGGAAGGCAATCGAGCCTGATTGAGATACTTTTCGGAACAATCGTCTGCTTGCTTGAAAAGCTTGTAACTGCTACCGTAAGTGACGTTGGTGAAATAATAGTACGACTACTTCGAAGCATCTTCACTTTACTGCTGAATGCTATCGGGTGTGTAGATGTTTTAGGCAACTTGAACTTTGAGGACTTCGGAGCATGTCTTGGCAGACTCGTTCAGCTTCCAGTAGACACATTACAAGCTCTGGTTGAGAACGTATTGGAATTGGTGAGAAACGATACACAGAGCATTGGTATTTGTGTCGTCGGAACTGAGCAGGTTTGAATGAATTATGTAGCATACTTTTGGTAGAATTTTAGCAATTACTTACATAATATGTATCTTGAGATGAAATAATGTACGTGCACCTCTATTTGCGTCACATATTGTTATTATTCAAATAAAGTTTATATACAGAAATTACAAAAACAGTTGAACATCAAGTTAATGAACTATTCAACAACACTGTATATTTTTAAAAGCCTTGAAACACGATACACTTACACACGGTATGCTCATTATTTTTCTCAAACGCGTTTTCTACTGCGCATTACGTCACCTGCGAACGTGTGGCGCCAAAATTCAAGTGTTTACGCACGGAAAAATCCAGTACAGATGTCACGCGTGACAGTTTGCACCTTTTCAGTTGTATTTACGAGTTTTATAGCGTTAATTTGTTGATAGCTAAGCATTAATTTGTTGATAGCTAAGTAATCATTAGTGAAAATTCCAAAATGCCAGGTTGTGTGTGGAAATAAAATAGGTACTTTCGATTTCCGAAAATTGAAGACTTTTCTCTAAAATGGATTGTTGCAAGTCGTCGTAAGGACAAAATTACCTTGAAAAATGGTGTTGCATTATTATTAAGTGGTGTGTTTATTGTCTATCCATTGCTGTTTAATCCTATATCCTGTATTTGTTATGAACATTTTGAAGCCAGCCGTTTTGAAGCACGTGACGTCACGCTAGATGCGCAAGAGCATACCGTTGTAAGTGTATCGTGCCTTGAAATAAAGTGAAATCCTCAATCAATCTTATCCCTCTCAATTAATAGATATTATTTTTACTTTATAGCATATTGGTACTTTAATAGGGCTAAGTCGCTCTTTAACGATGAGGGTAGATCAATGATCAATTTAACCGTAAGGGTAGATAAGGTGAAACAGATGCTTCTACATTCAAATGACGTCTGTCATTCTTATTTCAAATGTAACGCCGGAGCACGATATAAAATGACGTTCACAACATATGACAATGTTGTTTCTATTGAAACGATCGCGACGGCAGAACCTAAGCTTGCTACTTTTGACGTCTAAATTAAATTCGAATTTATCAGAATCAATGATTAATATGGCATATATTATACACGACGATAAAATGTAATTATGGTGAACTAGAATGTTAAAAAGGTAAGTATTGTAGTACAAAGATTTGGGCGATTGGTAGTGGAGAAACTGTGACATTTGTCTTTGAGGAAAAGGAAAATGATCTCATCTGGGAAAGCACCAATGTCCGGAAATTGATCTGTGGTTCTTTAAATGGTAGTGAAGTAAGTTGTTTTCTCAATCGTTCTACGTGTCTGGTGTTCTTTTTTGGACTATAATTGTACTGCTCAATGCTTTCAAGGATATGGGTGATCAAACATAACAGAAAAGACTTTGAGCACTGTGGGTGGGTACGTACAGCAACCTACATAGCAAGCGCGTACGGTGGGAAGTATGTAGTGCTAGTGATTTATTTTCTATTTTTGATGATGCAGTGTGCGACCGTTTCTTGCCCTAAAAACTTTTCTTAAACGTATCGCGAATTGTCCGCCTTATCTTTTGGTCTTTTCATGCTTAAAATTGCTTTAAAGTATTTGTTGTCCGGTCTAATTTTATTATACGGTATAACATTTCCCATGAATTTAACGGACTTCGCGCGATATTGAATTTTATCAGAATTAAATTTGACGTTATTACTACCTGATTAAATGTATATCTACCGAACGGTGTCATAAATGTTGTTAATTCTGAGCCAGTTTGGTCCATTAACATGTGTCAAAACCCACTTTTAAGGTCAATTACTGTGAAAACATGAGCATTAGCACACATCTTTGTAGTTCTCGAGAAATGATTCTTTTGCATCTGGCAAAACAATTAGGTCTACATCCATCCGTTTAACTAATCCAAAATTAATACTGCTATCTAATCCAAGTGTCGGTTCAAATTTATCACTAACAACCAAAAATAATGCTTCCTGTTCAAAACGAGAAGCTAAATCTCTGTAATTTAACTGTAACAGTACCAAAGACTTTAACTTTATTATTGCTATAACCAAATACACGAAAATCATTATTTTTATCATCAATTTTAATTTTTAACTTGCTAACTAAATTAAAAGGAATGCAATTGACGTCTGCTCCGGTACCAATCTTAAATTTAACTATTTCATTTTTGATTTGATACTCCTTCGTCCATTTAGTTCTATTTAGCCCAAATGATTCTATTCTAAAATTATTATTTTCTACTAACATTTCTAACTAGATTACCTGAAATATCATCCCATGCGACACTATCTATTTCGTTACCCTTATTGTTGCATATTTCGGTACTAAAGACTTTTTTAGGTTGAGATTGTTGGCTTCTTTCCTCGTGGACGACATAATTTAGCAAAATGTCCTCATTTTTCGCATGTTAAACATACAACATCCTTCGCCTTACACAGAATAACATGTTTTTGGTTCCACGAGTCCCCCACAATTGAAACAAAATTGATTTATTGCTCCAACAAGTGCTGGTTTCTCTTCATTTGCAATACTTGCAACTACAGAAGTCTTGGAATCCAAAATGATCTTATTAAGGTTGGCCGATTCATACATTTTGCATGTTTCTATACTCTGTTTTTTAACTAGGAAGACGGATTTAAAAACCTGATTTACACTGAAAATGTCACTAGAATCTAGTAACAAAAATAATAGACTCATTTTATACAGACATGTATTGTGTGTTGCGTGATGTGTTTTTCTTTCACATTTGGATAGATTTCATTATTTATGCTTTTGGGTTATTATTTGATAGGAACTACTTTATATTATGCATACATCACACTTTTAAAAGCGAATTATAATAAATAGGTAATACATTGATAATAGGTAATAATGCTGCATACATTTTTTGACCTTTGAAACATTGTTTTGAATTGTAGTTTTAAATGTTTTATCAGTTGTAATACTACACAATCCACATTACAATTTACAACAAATGTTAAGTTATTGAACAAATTCAGAGCAATGGAATTATATTCATATTATTAAACAGCACAGTTCACTGTTTTATGTACCGGGTGATTCATTAGAAGTGATGATCGCTTGAATTTCGCGCGTAAGGTTTTAGTATTTTTTGCATTATTAGATTGACGGTTTGAATTTCGTTAGTAATTTTTTTCTGTCATGACTGTCATTTAACAAACCAGTGTCGCCGTTACTTGTTGTGTGCCATTTGCGGTTTACTATTTTTTCCATTTTGAACAATTTTTAGAGTTGATGCATAAGAAACGTGACTGTGTCTAGTTTTAGTTTATAATTTGTGGTAAAACAGAAGCAGTATTTGTAGATTATAAATAAGTAAACGATTTACTGAAAGCATGATGATACACCACTGCAATTAAATAAATCATCATCAGCTAGTACCAACTTCATAATTTTTTTGATTTGCGGGAAATTCAAATTGTCCTCACTTCTAATGAATCACCCGGTATAAGCGATTTAGACACTGTCTTCCGAAAGTTCACTAAAACTGTCACTGTCCTCCGATCCGAGTGAAATAATTAATGGTTCTATAAGTGTATCCATTAGGCCATCCAACCTACGCATCTTATTTTCTTCCTTAATAACGTGTTGCACACAATTCCGCCAATCGTCAGAGCTCACATTTGCAACAGCCTTATGACCACCGGAACGTTTCGAAGGGATAACAATCCCAGTACTTCGATCTTCTTTAATTATCCGGTATACTGTTGATCGTGCAACTCCTAATATGTGTCATACTTTAATAACTAAATATATACCTACATCATTATTTACGTTACCTGTGGTAGATGTAATCTTCAACACAAGCGTAGCAAAATTCATATCCGGAGTATCAGATAACATTTGTTTATAAGTTTTTCGGAGACTGATAAAATGACCCAAGTTTAAGCGATTACGTTTTTTCAAAGGAGACAAGCTTGCTTTACTGGTACTTGGAGTTGAATCCATCACCAATGCCAGTACACTTAGGACGCGAAATATCAACTTTAGTTCTTAAAAGAACTGTTTTACTTTGTTAAAATTTATGCAAAAGGACTCGGAACACACGAAAACTCAGAAATAAGTACAACAGTTAAGGATGAGAATCGCGATTAAATTTGACAGTTAAATCATGTCAATAGTAATTTTACCTGGGTGTAAAACGGGCGCAGCGCGAGCCAATAGAAACTAAGATTTTTTGCGGGAACTTTTAAATCCGTCTTCCTAGTGAAAAAACAGAGTATAGTACCTTCTCAAGCGTGTCATAGTGACCATCTAACAACTTTAAGTGAAGTTTTTTGTCATGTACCCCAATGATAATACGATCTCGAAGCATTCTGTCTTCATATTTTTCTCCACATGTACACTTAAAGCCACAAAAAGGAATTTGTTTTCGTAATTCCGTTTCAAACTCATTGAAGTGCTGTTTTTCCTTTTGTGAAATCATTTAAATTTAAACGATTCCATTTCAAATTTCAAATTTAGTCAAAATTTCATCTAAAAATCGTTGAACAATTGATCTATTAGAACCCGTTCCAACAATGACTTCCCCAACCATCGATTTTTCTGATCCGTTATGTGGAAATAACGTGTTATAGATGGACGATCGTGCTTGATCACCAATTAACCAAATAAACGTAGCCACTTTAATTTTTTCGTCATCTTCCATCCTTTTATTTGCAATCATCCAAACCAGCTTCCATTCTGCCCATTCTTTTCCAACATTTGTACAATCCAACAGCTTTGGCAGTCTGTCATAACTGTCTACTCCCATATTTTGTCAAGTTGACTTTTGCACAAATTATATTTTTGTATTGTTGCACAAAGTAATGTAATTCAACCCGTGTGCGGACAATTCGCGCCCGGACAATTCGCACTCGGATAATTCGCACCGGAATAATTCGCACCCGGATAATTCGCACCCGGACATTTCACTTCCAGGATATTTCGCACCCTGGACATTTCGCTCCCGGATAATTCGCACCTGGATAATTCGCACTCGGACATTTCACACCTTGGACATTTAGCTCCTGGATAATACGCACCCGGACAATTCGCACTCGAAAAATTCGCTCCCGAATAATTCACACCCGGATAATTCTGTAAATCTTTGGTTTATTAAAATTAAATATTTTTAAGAGGCTACTAGACG